AGGAATTGCGCGATGGTGGGAAACTCTAGATCGACATGTAGGTCGATATTGCGCATGAACTAGGGTGCTTCCGTGGCTCTGAGCAAGAATCGATTTTTAATGACCCGAAGCCGGTGTATTTGCTTCGGAGCAATGTGAGCGAAGACGGGGCTCGCGCACGTCATGATAGGGCGAACTACTGCCTTGTACAAGGTCACCTTGTTCCGAAGAGACATTTTTGACGTTTTATTGAGGAGCGGGTAGAGGCGACCGAGTACGAAGGCCGGCCGGTTCCTGACCCGGGTCACGTGCTGGGTGAATTTAAGCTGGGAGTCGAGGACGACGCCTAGATATTTGACTTTATTAACCCATGGTACTGGGCTGTCCATGAGTTTAACGGGGGGTGGATTGGGTACATTCTTTTTATGTGTGAAAAGGACGGCCGTGCTTTTGGTGGGATTAATCTCGATCCTCCATTGCCGAAACCAGTCACCGATGGTGATGGCCGTAGCTTGAAGGCGTCGATGGATTAATTCGGGGGTTCTGCCTGTGGTATAGAGACAGGTGTCGTCGGCAAAAAGAGCAAGTTCTACATCTTTGACACGCGGCATGTCATTGGTGTAGAGCGTGAACAGGACTGGACCCAACACCGACCCTTGTGGCACCCCGGCTCGAACGGGATGCGTTGTCGAACACACGCCCTCGACGCGATAGCGAAGGGTCCAATTACTTAGGAAGTCTCGTATTATGCATACGAGACGGTCGGGTACTCCGAACCCGTATAACTTGTATACGAGCCCGTTGTACCAGACTTTATCGAACGACTTGCTAAGCAGCCACTGCCCGCTTCTATAGTCGACCACTATCCTAGTGTGCATTGCTGTAGCCGCGCGTTGGAGCTCTAGAGTACGCGCGCGTAGGGTATTTGACGCAGCGTAGTTTGATACGTTACAGTCTAGATTTTCGAATATATGCATTTACAATAAATTTGCCAAATCGAAACGCGTCATGTACCAAATGGTCTTCCTCAACTTAAATAGCCTCTTTTCAATCCAATCTCCGTCCATACTAGCCCTGCGGTAACTATCTCTCAAACTTGAGTACTCAACTTACGCTAATTCTGTTTCACCAATAAATACGTATAATAATATTACTACGTTAAATGTTACTATAGGAATCAGCGTCATTAACGCAATGATTGTGACAGAGAATAATTTTATTAATCTCGCTTAGAAAAGAGAAATTCATATTCATGTCTATTGAGAACCAAGATATTTGAAGATTTTATTACTACCAATTAAGGTTAACAATAGTATATTTTATTTTTGTATTTGTCTTATGAACCAGGGATAATTTATCATACAAAAACTAGCTTAAATTCAATAAATAATATAAATAAATCAAATAATATAAGCCATTAATCTTATCCTTTAAACGAGCAATTCTTGCATATATATATATATATATATATAGAGTTCGAAATCCGGTGCCGGCACCAATGAAATTGTTAATTTTAAGTGCTGACTTATCACGTGCTCAGCGGTGAAGGATAACATCGCGAGGAGACCTGCATATTTTCGAAATAATAACAAAAAAAATATTTCGAAGATATCTGAAGTCTGCCAATCTGCAGTGGGGTCGCGTGGTTGACTATGCCCTGATACCCTCTGTACAGAGGAGGCCGTTGCTCAGCATTGGAACTTATATAGGCTGTTCCTTTCTTTTTTTAAATAATATAAGTACCCTCGTCTCCTCATATACAATTAAAAGCAAATGTGTTCAAAATACTTTATTTTTCAACAACATTACGTATAAAACGTTCTCGCCGCGACTATGTTATCCGTATATGTATGTATACTCTAAGAACTATTGACCGATACTAAAAATTGGACTTTTGAAGTGTACACACCCAGTACTAGTCTCACCGCATCATCTTATACACGAATTTACATACGAACGCATAAGGTTAAAATTTCAACGACTGCACAACTATTATTACATATATACAAGAAATCCGATCACAAATTTCACTTCCGTAGTCAATTCCAATATTCGAAATAGTCATCAATAACAAATGTAACATGCAAATTTGAACCTTATGCTAGTGTTAAGACACATTAGGACATCCTGTAATATTAATAGTAATTGTCATTCATCAACAAAATGAGGTAAAGAAAACATCAACTTTAGCGGCATATCATAAAGTATACACTCTGAAAAAAATAGCATTGTTCTGAAATGGACACCCATTCGAAACGATTTCTAGCCTGCTTACAAATATAAATGTATTCATATAAAATGAAACTAACAGCGCTTATTTAGTAGTGAACAGTTTTTTTTTTTTTGCTGAGTATTAACATTTCGTACAGTTTGTACTTGTTTTAGAACAAATGTGCAACATTACATTGAGTTTAGGAAAAATTCTTAACTGCCTTTTTATTGACAACACAATATTGGCTACCATTATCAATCCGTTAATGCGGATTTTAAGGGAAATAATCATCTGTAAAGTTCATGGATACTTCATACTTGGAGTATAAGCATTATACCTTGACCATGAAGAATACCACTTGATAGTACATAGTGCAAAAGTACAATAAATTTTAGGATTTTCCTTAAAATATAAGAAAGCTAAGCAGCTGTGTGGAGGAAATTCGTGATATTCATCAAACAAAAACCTGGGCAGCCCTCGGTATTAGTTAGGAGTCAATGTCGGACTTAAAATTTTTATAAACATAAAAACCATTTAAAAAATAAGCTTAATTTAATTAAAATAAATATCATCACAACGAAAAAAAAAACACAATATCATCCAGTAACATTGACTAGTCTTTTTTTACATTTATCTAAGTAAACACAGTAATAATTGGGAAAAATTTGGAGTTTTGGATGCACATAACTTATTTGCCTTATGTGCGTCCAATGAAAAAACGCCTATTTTATATTTTACTTCCAGCTTTTAAAAATTTCGGGATATCTAAGCACACAAGCATCAACGGGAAACCTACCGATTTGGTAACTTTTTTGAATGTCGTTCTACCAGTCTTAGATGGTTTTCTATCCAGAGATATTAAATTTACATAATCGGTCCGGAATTTTTATGAATACGCCATGTGAGTTCCAAGATGGGTAGGTTCAAAAACAGAACAATCATTATTGTTAATTTATTTTCCAACATTTCATTTTAGAAACTATTTTTATATAAATAAATTTGCACATACTGCTCCATCTGTAGCGATGATATTTACTATTTCCGCAGATTAAACAAAATAAGTAAAAAGGTTCATTGCCCCGGGACTGTATTTAAATTTGGTATGTCTGATTTTATACATACAAAAGAGAAGAAACAATAAGAAATATTTTAAAGCCATTTGTGGCTTTACACAACGATAATTATAATTTAGTGCTTCTAACCCTGATGTTCCACGGTGCTTTTTTTTTTTTTCTAAAATAAAAAATCTGGTGAGAGACATAAATGATTATGAAGAAAGTTCCTACGCATAGAGGCTATCTTATATTGTCATATATAAACTACCTACAGTTAACAATAGTATTTTCATGTGCGAATATGTTTTAATATAACAGTCTTTTTAAGTGTTCATTCAGATTTTTCCATACGAAATACACAATTCTAGAGTAACTACATTGATCACATAGAAAGCTTAATGTAACGATATTAAATGTGTATATAGTATTTACATCTCATACAAGGAAGCCAATGACAGTCAAAAGTACTATAAAAGTAATTGACAATGCATTGGTAATAATTTACCAATTAGTGGTGTACATTGCAAATATATGATGTACATACAACTACACCTGTGTGCTTACCGTCCCTTATGCATCATGTACAGTACAAAAGTAAATATTACAAAATTGAATAATCTTTCCGATTGCATGGATTAGTTAAATACACATCATTAACGCTCAGTTTCTGAAACTCTGATCTCAGTAAATGTCCACTAATCAGCTGTCAAATGGCTGTACAAATGTCATTTGAGTTGCCTTAAGGACGGTTAAACTCTAAGATGATCAGTGTTTCAGAAACGGGGCTTAAGTAACAGAAATATAATTTTTATCCCTTTTCATTAACAGATGTTGGGAATTTTGAGAAAGATTCAATGCACACCAATAGGGTATTGACTTATTTGTTGACTTTTTACGTCTTATCCATTAGTGCTGCAAACCGAACATGCATTGCGTATTTATGAATGCAAACGCACTTAGGTAAAAAAAATAAATCTCATAATATTTGGCACATGCAGTTACAATGGAAGTTTTTTACTTATAAAGGAAGCTTCAATCTGATAAATATATGATTCTTCTTGATTTTATCAATTTTCGTAATATCCGATTGTTCAACTCTAGAATAAAACTAGTACATCCTGTTCAATTCTTGCGAAGGAAGCAATATTATTAGTGCGCAAACTTTTAGTTTTTATCATTAACAGGTAACATTTCATTCGGCAGTTAGTCTTAACTTTAGCTAGGTAATGATTACATATTTTACATCTAAAAACCTTAATAACACTTTGATATAAAATCAACATATACTACACTATAAAGGCAGATATGAAACATGTTTTTTTTTTCTTTTAATGGAAATGTTTGTTTGGTTAACAAATTCATTCTGAATTGATCCGCAAGTTACCATATGCATAATATAAAAGTAACATTAGAGGTAGTGTTAACAAAATGATACACATTATTATCTAGGCGAGTGAACAATAAAAAAAACTAATATTTACAAAATGTAAATTCAACTAAAGTGTGGACAAACAATGTACTAAAATAATTTAACTAAGGAAATAGGTACATCGTGTGAGCAAAATAATCTTCAGAACGTATGAAGTCTTTTTACGTAATCACAACTTTAACGCCAACGAGAGGTTGACAGATGCCACTGTCATTGCACGCACCCGAAGAGCCCGCGAATTCGATCCGTCAGGTTGACAGGCGAAAACCAACATGGCGGATACTCTCACTCTTTTTACAATCGGGCAAAGATAAAGCGAATGTCAAGCCACTGTGTCGTCATGGCGTTTTTTGTCGCCTTTACGTTGGTTCAATTTCTTTTTCACGTCCAGCAACATTTGCTCGAAGGACATGTCATCGTTGCGACGCGCCGGTAAAGCTGCCTGCCCGTGGAAAGCGCTCTCCGTATACTTAGCCTCCAAACCATCTGTTGAAATGTAATAATAAGTATCAATACTATAATTGTGCAAATGGGTTCATAATTTTGATGATTCCGTGGCGTAGTTGCCAAGGTATTGGCTTCGGCGTCGTGGGTTCGATTCCCACACGGGACAACTATTTGTGTGACCCACAGATAGTTGTTTCGCATTTAGGTGTTTGTCCGCGTGAAATTTATGTTTGTAAAACGTCCTTACAACACAGGATAATGTTAGTCCAAAGTAAGGACAATGTTTAAAAAAAAAGAAAAGATAAATTAAAGAATAATAACGTAATAATAATACTAGGACTAATTTGACAAATATAAACATATCTTATACAATTATCATAATATAATACTTGGACTCTTAACCCTTTCCTATCAGGTTTTTGGATAAAAAAAGTATTAAATATGACCAAAGTAGTTCAAAATAGACTTAACTAGACACAGTAAACTGAAAGTTTATTTTACGCACACAATCATTTCTTAACCAAATGTCATTTCTTGATTAAGCAGATACATGTAACACAATATGTTAATTATCTACGTTAAAGGAAAAACCTGACCCAAATCTTTGGTGTTATCATTGGATACAACGCGTGGTGCCAAGTAAATTCCTCACACTTGTTTTATCATATTCGCAATGTATTATCATTCATTGTGACTGATAAGGATTGGCCAACTATCCACCTAAGCTATTATTCTATTATGTCATCATGCATGATTCTCGCAATAGAGAATCATGCATGATGAAGATTTAATATTGTGAGCTCATACACCTTAGAAATAAGAATACAAAAAATCGATCTTAACTCTGGAATGCACCATATAAATCAAAATACAATTTACTAGTAATTTTTTTTATTCTGAAAAGTTGTAAAGCGAGCAGACAGTTAACCTAATGTTAAATTAACATCCCCGTGAATATCTACAACACCTGGTGGCTTGTTAATGAGTTGACAATCATTAAAAAAGTGGGCCCCGGTTTGACGGATGGAAGTATTAATAAAGCAAGTTTAAATAATAAATAATGAGGTGTTCTGTGAGGCCGTGGGCAATGGAACTTCCTTGAACGAGCCTGCCCATTCGTGCAACAGCAGAGGCTGTTTCGTGGCCCTGCCACAGATGAAATAACAAATATAAATGGTATCAACTGTAAACTGCCACAGATAATATAACAAAAGTAGATGATATCCGCTGTAAACAGCAAACAAGTAGACTGAGGACAAGTAGCAAATCAAAAGATATAAACAACAGCAGCATGGTTGGAGATTTACATTAAAACATTAGCCTTGGTTACTTGGCTCATCAGACATCCTTACCCTTACTGTCCTTACTAATCCTTACTTATATTATAAACGCGAAAGTTTGTATGTATGGATGGATGTTTATTACTCTTTCACGCAAATACTACTAAATGGATTTTGATGAAACTTTACAATAATATAGCTTTCATATCAGAATAAGAGGCTATAATTTATATACATATTTTATATATATCTGTCTTTCTGTCTGAATCTTACGCCTTCAGGCTATTCTACGCAAACGTAGCCGCGGGCAGCTGGTGCAAAAATATGAAATCCACTTGACGCCGGTGTTGTGTTATGACGTGGTGCCTCAAAAACGCTGGTAAAAACATCTATTGTAGTCTTCCCCGTCGAGAACATTGCCCCCTTACTGTAGGATAACATTATCCTATGTTGAAACGATGTTTTAGACAACATAACCGAGACACCTATCCGTGGGTCACACAAACATCTTTCCCGTGTGTGAATCGAACCCATGACCGAGCGGCGCCGATGCCGATACTTCGGTAACTGCGCCACGTAGTAACCCGGTAAGTTGTCGAAATGCATGTTGTGTCTACATCTACGAGTAGAAGAATGCACTCTCGTGTTTGGAACAATTGGAAGCTTATACGAACTTATGTAAAGGCTGCATTCAGTTTTGTGTCACAGCATAGTATAAAACAAAGTCGTACCGCTGTCTGTCTGTCCCTATGTATGCTTAGATCTTTAAAACTACTCAACGGATCTTGATGCGGTTTTTTTACTAGATAAAATGAATCAAGAGGAAGGTTTATATGTATAAAACATTGCATCCGTGCGAAGCCGGGGCGTGTCGCTAGTATTATACAAAACAAAGTCGTCCCGCTGTCTGTCTGTCCCTATGTGTGCTTAGGTCTTTAAAACTACTCAACGGATCTTGATGCGGTTTTTTTACTAGATAAAATGAACCAAGAGGAAGGTTTATATGTGTAATGTGTGATACGTATCACCGGCGCGAAGCCGGGGCTGGTGGCTAGTGCACGATAAAGAAAAAAAGAATCAAACTCACCCAGATCCGCGTAGCTCTGCCTGCAGAACGCCCTCCGGCCGCCGAAGCCGACGTCGTACTGGGGGAAGGTGGCGGCCGCCTCCACCGCCGCCCACGCGTCCCTCGACTTTCGGTACGTGACGAAGCCGTACCGCGACCTGGACGCGGACACCGTTTAGGGGGAACCGCCCCGGTACAGGCGGGGGAGTCCCCAACCGGCTGGCTTTAGGGGCGGGGTGGACAGACCGGGAAGTGCCCAAACCGACCGGCTTCAGGACAGGGGTGGACACAGGCGGGGAAGTCGCCAAACAAGGCTGGCTTTAGGACAGGTGTGGTCAGACGGTGAAGTCTCCAAATCGGCTGGCTTTAGGACCGGGGTGGACAGATGGGGAGGCCCCCAAACCATCTGGGTTTGAGACCGGGGTGGACAGAAGCGTGGACAGACAGGGAAGTCGCCAAACCGGATGGCTTTAGGACCGGGGTGGACAGAAGCGTGGACAGACCAAACCGGCTGGCTTTAGGGTCAAAGTGGACAGACGGGGAGATCCCCAAACCGACCGGCTTTAGGACAGCGGTGGACACAGGCGGGGAAGTCGCCAAACAAGGCTGGCTTTAGGTCAGGTGTGGTCAGACGGTGAAGTCTCCAAATCGGCTGGCTTTAGGACCGGGGTGGACAGAAGCGTGGACAGACCAAACCGGCTGGCTTTAGGGTCAAAGTGAACAGACGGGGAGATCCCCAAACCGACCGGCTTTAGGACAGGGGTGGACACAGGCGGGGAAGTCGCCAAACCAGGCTGGCTTTAGGACAGGTATGGTCAGACGGTGAAGTCTCCAAATCGGCTGGCTTTAGGACCGGGGTGGACAGATGGGGAGGCCCCCAAACCATCTGGGTTTGAGACCGGGGTGGACAGACAGGGAAGTCGCCAAACCGGATGGCTTTAGGACCGGGGTGGACAGAGGCGTGTATGTTATATTGTAAACTGATACTTTTGAAAAAGAGTAACAGTTGAGTTTCTTGCCGGTCGCTTCTCAACAGAAACTGCTTTCCGAACCGGTGGTGCCTTACGAACCTATATACATAATTTTTGATGTAATTAAACTATTCATAAGAGCGCATTTGAATAAATATATTTTTCATTTTGATGTTGATTTTTGTCCCCAAACCGGATGGCTTTAGGACCGGGGTGGACAGAGGCGTGGATGTCCCCAAACCAGTGGGAGCCACTAACCTCGCTCAACAGACGAAACGCAGAAGTATAACACTTCCACATCACGCCGGTCTTCTGTGAGTAAATGGCATCTGCCAGATCTTCTTCACATGACATTTTGGTCTGAGTGAGAATAGAGAGTAGATTGGTGAACTTCTTTTTATACCGACAACTTTCTGCTACTATTATACAAGATAACCTTATGCTCTTTCCCTCAGTAACGGATGAAATAAAAGTGTGTCTTTGTATTGTGACCAGTTAACTTGACCCCTGACCGTAGCACTTGCGTAGGCAAAGCTTGACGCCACCACGTACCCATCTTCCTTGGTGTGCAGTCGCACTTCGGTGACGAGGCCGAACTTCGAGAACATTCCCCTTAGCGTGGACTTGTTGATGTCCTTCTCCAACTTGCCCACGAACACTATCCGTCTCTCTTCCACAGGCGTGTTGCTCTCCCTGCAAAGAAGAGTCACTTTAAAAGAATGCGTTCTATTAAAGAGGCGTTTAAATGTGCCGTCTTAAAATTTTATCTAGATATTCGACAGAATTGGAGATTGAGCTAATTGAACTTTACCCTACTTGACATAATTATTTAATACAATGTAGGTATATATTTGTTTGTATATGTGTATATTTATATGTAATGTTTTATATAAATTCATATTTTTCACCACTTCTCATCTACTCTCACAGAGCCATGATAGCTCAGTGTCCGGGCGCTCGCGTTTAATTCAATATACTCGAGCAACCTGAGTTCGATCCCCGGTGCCGGCACCAATGAAGTTTTTAACTTTAAGTGCTGACTTATCACGTGCTCCGCGGTGAAGGAAAACATCGTGAGGAAACCTGCATATTTTCGAAATAATAACAAAAAAAAATATTTCGAAGATATGTGAAGTCCGCCAATCCGCAGTGGGGCCGCGTGGTGGACTATGCCCTGATACCCTCTGTTTAGAGGAGGTTTTTGCCCAGCAGTGGGACATGTATAGGCTGTTACTTTACTTTTTACTTTACTACTTCTCATTTGACTCTTTCGCACCTCCTTGTTCTCTCTACTTATTTGTCGGTTGACTGGTAGAGAACACCTAATGGTGTTATGTCCGCCATTGTACGTTGTATGTGCAAAAACTTTTTAAATAAATAAATAAAATAAGAATTGGTACTAAATTGACTTTAATTTTTAAAAAGAGAAGTTAAACAATTGAACAGTAATTCTCGCATTAATGATTATATAATGTGTATTATGTTACACAATCATTAATGTATAATGATTATATCGAAATTAATGTTAGTTAAGAACTAATCGTGAGGTTCTATAGGTTTCCTTTGTTCAACAATGGACGACTCCCATGATGATGATAATAAGCAATAATTAAAATATAAGCACTATTAATAATTCACCCTTCTTGTAGCGGCTGAATGAATTCAAACGGAGCTTCGTATGGAGATCCTTATGCAATAGATGCACATGATAGTTTTCATGAGGCATTCGTTTACTATTACCCGTTTAAAAGAAGTCCGGGTAAAAGCTAGTGAATATTTCCCAATAGAATCAAATGAGCACTACCATCTTAGGCTATACATTTGAAACCCAAGACCCAACATAGTCCAAGCCAGGTGGACGAACCACTAAGGAGCTGGCACCGTAACAGTCTTTTGCACGGGATACCGACCTGTCTTCTGAACTGTATGCGCTTCTGTAATTCGTCTTCTTGTATCCCTCCTCGTTCCTGTACGGGCTGCTGGAGCGCGTTGATTTCGCAGAAGCGCTGGAGGAACTGCTCGAGGAAGACGACGCACTACTGCTATAACGGAAATCGAAATTGAATCGAAGCAATACCTCATATGATGTAACGAGCTCACAAAACGAAGGGCCCGGTCCTAAAATATATTAAATTCCACTTTATTCAAGCTAAAATATGACAGTTTTTGAGAATTACATGAAACAAAACGTAATAAAACTTCGAAAATTCATCTGTGAAAAGAAACCCATGATGACGTCACACGCAAGTAAACAAGGATTCCTCGAACGATTGTCGTTCGCGTTTAATGTTTTCGGAGCATTAATTTGATCTTTTTCGGAGCATTTAGGGTGGTAGGGCCACGCAGCAGCCTCGGCTGTTGCACGAATGGGCAGGCCCGTCCGGGTAAGTACCACGACCTCACAGAAGACCAGCGTAAAGTGGAAGTATGAAAAATACTTTCGCGTTTCGTCTGGTGAGCGAGGTAGCCGGAGCCCAATTATCAAAAGGTTGTCAACGCATCTGTAACCCTCGCAGATGTCCATGGGCGGCGGTATTCACTTAACATCAGGTAAACCGTCTGCTCGTTTGACAACTTTTCGCAAAAAAAAAAAAAATCTGACACAACTTTAAATTAAGCAATGGTATAAATATTACTTTCGAGTCTAGAAGTAAGTCAGATTTTGTGCTATGCTTTTATGGGTGCACTTCAATAACCATGCCGTGTAATTAAGTGTACCATGAAGAAAATATTTATTTACAAACCTTTATATTCATAAATTTTGTAAAATTTTATCGTCGCATTTTAGGTTTCGTAGTTAAATATTGAAAAATTTCATGCTACTTCACTTTGTTTTGGTCTTTACTTTTGTTCCACAAGTCTGCATGGGAATCTTTTGCGGACGACGCGATTGGCTGTGACCAAATATACTGCAAGTGTGAGGTTTGCACAGTTACGCGTGTAATGTTATGCGCACCGCGCAGAACATAAAGTAACAACCAAAGCATATAATGTGGCAGCAACATACACTTAACTGATTTAGGATTTGAAATTTATACACCATTTTATGCAATGAATATGATGAAATTCCCTGCTGCTAGTGTTTGTATGTTTTATTCATGAACTTGTTTACTTGCCTGTGACGTCACAGGTGTCACGTGTCCATTATAGTAACATCGTTTATCATACGTAGCTATCTTGTCAACCCTATCATATATACCTAGAGGAAGAGTCTGAACTTTCCGAGACGGTCTGCTTGCGCGGGGGAGGCGTCTGCGATGCGGGGCTCTTCTTCTCCAAGGGGTCGATGAACTGCGGGCTCGGTGGCTTAGCCCTCTTCGGGCTTTTGGAGCGGGCGGGCTCAGCGTGCCGGGACCTCGACCTGGAGCGGTTCCGGTACGGCCTCGGCGTGGGCGACCTGCGCTTCCGGTACGGGGATCTGGACTGCGTGCGCTGTTTCCTCCGGTACGGCGAGTCCGAGCGGCGGTACCGCCTGTACCGGCTCCTGCTTCTCGACCTGGAGCGGTTGCGGCCTGCGGGGCGCTTGCCCCTGTGGCCCTTGGTAGGGGAGCCGGGCCTGTGTGGGTTTTTCGGCTCGTAGCGATCTTTCGAGCGCGAGCGCTTCTCCCTCGCTTGGCCGGGCCCGCGCGATTCCGGTCTCGGCTTGGCCGCGAACCTGGCCTCCTTTGTCGGTTTCGAGCCGGCGCGCTCCGGACTGCCATCGCTGGACATCGACATGTCGCTGTCGTTCCTTTTTCTGGTCGAGGCGGGCTCCTCTTTGGGCGCGGTCTTCTCTGGGGTCGTCGGCGGAACGGGCTCGAGTATTGTGTCCGTTTGGACGGTGGCGCCCGCCACTGTCGGCCGCCGCCTCTTCTTCTCCAAGTGCAGGATCACTTTGTCCTCGCCGTGCTCGCTGGTGGCGTCGTATTCGCGTACAATGGTCGCTTTGCTGTGTTTGAAGCCGACTCGCCGTTCCGCCGACGAGGCGGGCTTCGCTTTATCACCGTTCGTGGTCACCTCGGGCGCTTTCTTCATCACCACGTCCTGTATGCTGGCGAACAGCGAGTTGCTCGATATCTTCGTCTCCACCTGCCTCTCGACGCTCTTCAGGGTGGCCGTTATGTCCCGGAATCGCTCCTTGTCGATTTTCGCGTCGGCGTGTTTCCTCTCGTCGCTCTGGGGCCTGTCCTTCGCAGTTATCGCGTCGAACACGTTGTGCTTCAACACGTGGTCGGACTTTTTGATCCTGAAGTTGATCGTCGACTTGGCTTCGGCGGGGGGCGTTTGTGGTTTCGCCTTCTCGACGTCAGCCGCCTGTTGCAGTTTCCTAAACACCTCCTCGTCCGTGTTCGTCCCAACGCTCACAAGGACGATCTCGTCGTAGTCGCTCAGCTGTGGGGGTTTTTCTACTAATGGCGTGGGCAGAATCTCCGCCGCAGCGCCCATTCCGACGATCTTCAACATCTCGGCGTCGCTGATGAGCGGCTGCAGTTCGAGATTCTCCACCTTGGGTATCTTGCTCATCACGATGTCCTCGTCCCGCTTCCTCATCGCCTCCGCTTTCTGTTTCTTGGTGTTCATCAGGATCTTCCTGGAAGCCTCGCGGATAGGGTCGAAGACCTTCTTAGGGAGTTCGGGGTCCGGTTTGGTCGTGTAAATTGCGGCTCCGTTCAGTGGTGTTTGACTAGCGGCCATCTTGGGAGCTTTCAGTATGCTGTCCGGAATCGGCATGTCGGGGAATATTGCCTCTGGACTGACGGTCGCAGAACTGTTGTTCGAGCTCACACCCCTCCTCAATTTGTATTCTTGCAGGTTCAGCTTCTTCTTCTTCTGTGGCTGGTCCACCTCTACCTTGACTATCGTATCGTTGGTCGACTTAAAGTCGTCCTCGTGAGATCGTTTCTCCGTCTTTATGTCTATCGAACGGGGGATTTGAACGTCCTGTTTGTTGCTAAACAGAGCCGTGTAAAAATGCTCCACTTTTGGATTGGGCTCCTCTTTTACTTTAACACTAGCAATAGATTTGTTTACCTCTACATTTCTAACGTGTTTTTCTTTAATTTGATTCCTATCTAGAGAGTCTATGCTTTTACCGGGCTCGATTTTAACGTGACACATTGATTTATCACTCACAACACTACTCGTTCCACCTCTATCGGAATACCTATCCTTCTGATTGCAGTCTCTCGAGTCGTCACAGTTTTTAATGATCACCTCCGATTTGTTTTTTATCGTTAACCTAATGCTACCGTTAGAACTTTGACTAATAGGGTTATCACTAGCTTTACAAGCACTCTTAACAATCACAGAACCGTTGCTTCTATTCAAACACACGTCACTTGCCGGTGAGTTTCTCTTCCGGCACGTCGAAGGCACCGTCGCCTTAACAGGTTGCCTGACAACGGACTTCTTCGCCCTCGCGTCGTTGTCGTCAACGGGCCGGCCGTTTGGCAGCTTCTTCGCTTTGGCGCCGCCGCTTTTCTCAGCCTCGTCGTCGCTGCTGAGATGGTAGACCACCTTCTTGTTCTTGCAGGACCTATGCCGCGAGTTCAGTATCCTGCTGTTGCTCGACAGCACCTCCGGCTTGAGAAGGCTCTGGCCGCCCTTCAGGCTGGGCAGGCTGTGCCGCTTCTTCGAGGAGCAGTAGTCATGGTCCGAATGGACGGGGCTCGGGGAGCGGCCCATCGCGGCGTTCAACGTCGACGGCATCTACAACAATGCGAAATAGTACAACCCGATCGCTGAACCCCAAGGCCCTACGGAACGAACATACTTACCATTATCTGACGCATTTTGTTCTTGTTCAGCTGGACGACGGCATCTTGAAGGCGCATTCCGTTCGCCAAGCTGCCATTGGTCTTCGCCTTCGGCTCGACTTTGATCGCGGGCCGTTTGGGTTTCGTATTGAAATTCTCCGTGGCCTCAAATTGTTCCAGTAGCGAGCTGAGATTGTTCGCTTCTAGGACCGGTATAACGGTCTCGTTGCACGACTCTACGTCGACGAAATCATCCAGCTCCACCTTGAGTTCGCTCTCCTTCTTCACGGCTGCCTTCTCTATGCAGAACTCCAGGACATTGGACTTGGAAATGGGCGGAGAGCTGTGCCTTTTGACCTTCAGCGGGGAAATCGTATCGACTTTCTCCACTTCGGTTTCAATCGATCCATCTATGTCCATGTCTTGGGGATTCAGATCGTCCTCGGTTTTAACGCCCCCGCCGAGTCGAGACTTGTCCGTGATGAGGAAACTGTTTACGTCTTCGTCGGTCAAGGTGCGCGGAATGTCCTCGCTTTTGGAGCTGTTGGCGGATTTATCTCTGTCGCTGTCGAAATTGAGATCGGACAGGTCGAGGTTCAGATCTTCGAAGCTGAGGCACGTTTTCGCGTCCAAATCCACGCATATACTGTGCATTGGCGAATGGGGCACCGAACACGACTTTTGTGCGTTCTTGAACTTCATGTAAGGTATGTCCTCCAGTAGATACTTTTTGATTTCCTCGATGTTCGGAAGCACATCTAGGTCGGCCTCGTTTATCGGCACATCCGCGTTGGCTTCTTGAACCTCAGTGGGATCTGGATTCACCTCCTCCGTAGCACCATTCGGAACGTCGAAAATATCAGTGACAGTCGGCGTGACTTTAGGTATACTGAAATCGGGAACTTTTTTTTGTGGCACTTGGCTTTTAATGAAGAAGTCGTCTACATTCGGTATGCTTGGTACACTGGGCTCGTGCTTTATTTCTTTAATGAAATACTCGTCCACGTCGTTGACGACCGGTTTATCTTTGACCTCCAGTATTTCCTTTTCTTTGCTATCCTTAATGAAATATTCGTCGACATTTGAAACAACTGGAGCGTCTAGATTGATACCGAGACCGTCGTGAGACAATTCTTCGGGTGTTACGGTTTCATTGTATGCGTGGTTTTCTTGCGCACTACTAATGGCATTATCCTCAGTATTGACATACTCTTCTGTTTCAGATTCTTCGCCATTCTCTTCCATGGAATATTCTTTTTGCTCTTCCTCGTCGGACGACGCTTCGAGATCAAAGTCTGGATGTACAGCATACACTTGGATAACGTCATAATCGTCACCTTCTACTAATGAATCCTCTTCTATATAATCAATATTTATAGGCTCCATATTATTAGCATCTGTGGCTTTCCTATCAAGAGTCACTTTCTGAACTGACAAGTCATTGTCTTCCTCCTCGGAGCTTGAATCGTGATTTGAACGCTCCGTAACGGACTAAAACATAAAACAAAAAATATCAAATATTAAACTCATCAACTCATCTTTTAGATGTATAAACTCATCAATCAATATAAACATACACACACAATTTCTTCTGAGACACACAAAAATAATCCTTTTAATTAAAATTAAATATTATACAAAAAAATTATATGTTACAATTTTTTTATATGTTAATATATTTTATCAAATTTTTGATATGTTGATAACGATTGTGCCATAATAATATTTTCTTCAGGACCAATCGCTCCGAACAACAACTGCCGACTGAAATTGGCAGCCTACTTAGACCAGTATAAACAGAATGCCCTTACTCCAATTTCTAGAACGCTAAGTTTTAGGGCTCTAATTATTGTTCAGTCTTAATAAAAAATAATCGCTGGTTATGTATATTATAACTAACTAAACAAATGAACAAATTAAGTTATAGTTTTTGTTTTTGTCCAAACTTACATTCTCACGTTTCCAAACTTGACCATTTTTCTGCTGCTCCCAATATTCCTCCTCATTACTCTCCTCTTCATATTGATTTGGCTGTTCCTCTTGAATATACTCGGGGCTATTCTGTTGACAACTGCCTTCAGATGAGAGTGACTCGCTTGTGGCGCGCAAAATCTTATGACCGATAGAACGAAATCTGGGTTGATGGTACATATTCAAAATATGTGACTCCATATCTAAAAAAAATTTATGTGTTATACATGTTACAGAGCATGTTTTCCCCAATATTTGAAAATTCAAATGGGCTCTAACTTTTAAATGAATGTAGCAATTGAAAATTACAGCTCATTTTAAAAATTCATTTATAAACATTGAATTTTCATGATAAACAAACAGCCTGTTATGTATTAAAATGATACTAGTGGTAGCCCAGTGGTCGAAATTCAACCATAATTAATTATACATGGTATGGTGTGTAATGTTTTTTATTGATTAAATGCATTTTTTATGCATAATTTTAAAAGTATATTAGCATTCTGCACCCCTTCTTCATATAAACTAGTGGGAAATTGCATACTCCTCTATCCACACAATTTTTGTAAAAAGGGGTACAAAGTTTTTGCTTTCCATATTTATATATAGATTCTTGTATATAGATAGATTTAATTTTGTTAATATGCGTACAGATGTCCCAATAGACAGCCCTTGAATGCTATGCATCTGCAATTAAAAATTTCTTCATATTTCCCTAGGTATGATTTCTTCCATTAGGAATTAAATTATTTCATAATGTGTGGGCAGGATGTTTTGGTAGCTTAGTAACAGTTTAGCAGAATAACAGATGGAGAGATAGATGCAAATAGAACTGTCATTCTAAAGAGTCACTTGATACTTTATTACATGAGCTACTTTTTTAATTTATACCAATAGCATATACATGATATAACTAGCTTGCTGTCCCTGAGAAGTTAATTTTATTGATTTGTTGGCAAACTTAGTCCATAAGAATTATGTAAACATTGTTCAAAAACCTTTCAAAATAATGCACATTATATTCATTTGATTCTTTTTGTTAATTTTTTAACAATATTTAATTAAAAACTTTATAATGTTACACTAAAAATTACTGGCTAGTATTTGTTAGTGTTTATATATTTATAACATATGCCAGGGATCTGTTATAATAAAAGAATAAAAAATATGTCATTGTCATCAAGCTATTTATCAGTGACATAACAATGAACATTTCGTAGGTGATAAAATATATACATAAAAAAAAAACAAAAATATAAAAGGTATGTTTGTAATTATTGCACTAGTTAAGAAATCTATATAATTTATGCCCAAAATAATTAATATATTCAGCAAAATTGCTTTCTTGCATTAGCATAAGTAAAACAAATAAGAAATAGGTGAATATTGCACCAGAAGTGCTGTTGAATTTAGATCTAAAAATAAAACTTATTTGATGTGATAATTACTAATGGCACATAAAAAAACTGCCTTTATTGGACATTGTGAATTTTCTATTTAGCATGGGTAGCATCACTTAGCATTATTGTAAAGTTTGCAGAGTTTCTTATGCCTGTACATCTCAGGTCAATGGCCTTTTTTTTTCAGAACCTATAGTAGTATTTTGACAATCAGTGAGTGGAATGCCCAAAATATGAATAAAGATATTTTAATTTGAATGGCAATACTCAATCACTCAATGATGTATTCAGTTTGTTTTTAACTTCTAACTCAAGCCCAAAAAAGACAATAAATTTTGCTAGGTATCCAACTTCAATATGCAATTACAGGAGTATAGAATTAAGAATTTCTATTTGAATTTTAATAGACAGACTCAAATTGAAATCTTTGAATATTTGGCTAAGTGATAGCACATCACTTACAAATAAAACAAAATTTCATTTGAATGAAGAAAAAACTATTTTTGTACATCTCTCTTGTAATAACAAAAAAAATATACATTACTTATTTTCTATGAAAAAAGATTGTGTATGGGAAATATGAAAACATGTATTGTGTGTGGCTTACTGTTAAATGAAACCTAAAATATTGATTCAGTTCCATCAACAAACTCATCATTTGTATGTGGAGTAATTATTAAAAGTATGAATTAGTAACAAAATTTACTGTTAGATGTTACTAGTATTAAATAACATTGAAATTTAAGAAAACATTAGTAAGATTTTATATGCATATTTTAAATTTTTTGTCTCTCTCAAATTTAATATCATATAAACTACTCAATTATACTTACTGAAAAGGCCAATTAAGAAAAAAAAACATTAACATAGTAAAAAAATAACATTAATGTTATATAAATGAATTGTAACCAAAAACACAAAAAAAGAATAAGGAATAATACAATGAAAAATGTGTTATGGCTCATTTGTTATCGTTAAATCTATCCCACACAAAATATTGGGCAAATGTAAATAACTTTAACTCTGGCGTAATTCAATTAAAATAAATTTTAAACGATACAGAGAAATCTCTAATGAATTAATCAACAAGCAGAATTCGGCAGTCGCTTATAGTGTTCGAGAAAAAAATATTTAAAACTTGTTATTTTTACTAAGAAATCCACCATTTTATTTATTTGACTTCAAAAAGTCAATACACACGGTTCTGCCAACATGATAAATATAGGGAGCGGGCGACATCATACTCGTATCGATAGTCCGATTTTTTTTTAATTTTATGAGTCACAGAACCGACACAGAGCAAATCCGACTCGGATGGATTAGGTTAGAAGGTTCACCTTTCCAACCAACTTTCGAGGTTAGGTTTTTTTTTATGACCACCAAAATTGACATATTAACAAATACAAGCAGAATTGTCATATTGACAACAAAAAAATGGCAGATTTCTATAGTAAAAATCACACAATTTCATTATTTATTTTTTCGAACACTATAAGCGACCGCCGAATTCTGCTTGTTGATAAATTCATAAGTGATTTTTCTCTATCGTTTAAAATTTATTTTAATTGAATTACGCCAGAGTTAAATGTATTTACATTTACCAAATATTGTATATCCTGATGTTACTACATTTTGACTTTCATTACACTAAGGTGGTAAGTATACCACAATACCAAAATTGCATGTCTATCAAGCTTCAATTTATTTTAAAACATTAAAAATATGTTAACTTGTAACAAAATTATAACGATGGTAAATATACCAAAGGCATTTTAATAGCACTAACTTCTTTAATATTTCCAAAGCTACATGTATACATGTACATAGTATTTCTGACAAATCCGATAATAAGTTTTATTTTAGTCAATATTCATCACAAAATATTGAAAGCAAACTCTAAGCAGTTTTGAATTGTTACAATAGTTCTCTAATACTTGTTACAATCAAAGCTATAATATTATGATGTTAAGCAAAATATTTTCCTGCTTTCCTGACCTATTCAAACATTATCTTATCAAAGTATCACATGTAAATAATCTGAAAGATATCTCACCATAAGCATATTTCATCCAGTATTTAAAACATTTCCCTGTACTTTGTTTACAGCTAGTAAACATTCAGTTATTATTGACAAAATTGTCAACAGGTGATAAGTGAATACATCCATATGTAATAATGTTTTTCTAAATATTGATTAATTGAATAAATACATGCCATTTAAAAGAAAATAATAAAAAATGCAATAAGAATTAAACATAAAATGTAATAAAATAATTACCATGTGTTAACATTCTGATAACATATTGAACATCTAAGCACCAAGGTACTGGCTTTAAATTCAGTAATATCAAGAAGGTAAATCTTTGAAAACGTAAAACGACTGTATCTTTTGGGCTTTCGACAATATTTATTGTATATTTCACACAAACTGTTACCCATTTCGCTCCAGGCTGCGCGCACAATATTTCGTAACTGTCATAATGCAAAAACAACCTTACACCGTCATGTGATTACGAACAATTTGAAACCTAAATTGTTACATTGAAAGCTTTTGGCGGTCTTGAATGCTCTCGCTCTACTAAAGATAACGGTTAATTTGTCCATTGTAAAAAGCTGCACAAAAAATAAGTTTAAACTGATATAGGTTATGTCCGCCGACAGTGTTCAATATTGGATGGCGAAAAACATATTTACACTCATGATAACGATGGAATTAACGATTCAAAGAATGTTTTTGATGAAACCGATTAATTTTATATAATTTCTAGGGAACAAAATAAACATTAGGTCAGTGACAAAACGCGCGCACTCAAACCTAACCTTGATAACGAAAAAGGCAGTTATAAGATTCTAGTTCAAGGCCCCATGAAAAAACTGAAAAGTCACATGAAGCCGTTACACAAACAAATCTGAAATATCATTGCAACCCGCACAGAAATCTATTTTAAGACAAACAACAGACGAAAAAAGCACTAACCTTTACAACCTCAAGTGACGGCTATATCCATGTAATTCGTATTTAACGTTATTCTTGCATATATCACAATCACACCACTGGAAGCACACACAATTATTAATGTTTTACACTTTCAGGCACAATTTAGTCCAAATTTTCAATACTTTCTTCGTTAAAAATTAACACTTTTCATGAAACATCACATGCTACAAACTTCACGCACGACATCAAAAATCAGAACCACACATAGTTGCCATTGTCGACGTAGCAAAATTAAAAAAGTTAGTAGTTAAAGGGTCTTTAACAAGAATATATTGGTCTTTAATTCAAATAATCATAATTTTCACTAAAAATTAGTAAATTTAACGAACAAGTATACAAATTTAATATTATGTGATTACAAAAAGATTTGTAGATAACAACACCATAACACCATTCAATTATATTTACATCAAAGTTCAAATTGGCATATTCTTCATGGTAAAACCAAGTTGCTTTAATTATTTTAAATAAGTTCAATTTTGGTTTTATGCGTAAAAACCAAAACCAATTGTGAACGCAATAAATTAAATATTACCTGTAATCAATATGCAACTCGACGTAAGAAGTTGTCAATACATTTTACGTTTCCATTACATTGGCCTAAATAACTTTCTTCCGCATTTTTTGCCACGTTCAGTTGAGTTTACGATCGTGCGGATCGTCATTTCTTAGTAAACTAGTATTTTTAAATTTCATAGTTAATTTCGTCTCCCAAGGTGAAAAAATTACTCAAGGCATTATATTTTAAATTTACCTACGAATAGTTACTTGATCTTGGCTAA